AGAGAGAGAGAGAGAGAGAGAGAGAGAGAGAGAGAGAGAGAGAGAGATTGAGATTGATTCACTGGGTATAGTGGCTGATCCCAGCACTTGGGAGGCTAAGGCAGAAGGACTAAAAGGTCAGGACAGCTTAGGTTGTACAGTGAACTCCTGTCTCAGAGAGAGAGAGAAAGAGAGAGAGAGAGAGAGAGACAGACAGACAGACAGACAGACTGACTGACTGACTCAGCTATAGAGGTGAATGCCTATAAGCCCAACATTTAAGAGGTGAAGGCAAGAGCATCAGAAGTTCAAGCCCAGCCTCAGCCATGTGTCAAGTTTGAAGCAAGTCTGAGCTCTATGAGACTTTATAGTAACAACAAATCCAAACCAAAACCAGAAATGGTAAAGCATTTGCCTGGCATGTAGAAGACACTGGATATGATCTCCAGCACTTTAAAAATAGGAAGGGAGGGAGGGAGGGAGGGAGGGAGGGAGGGAAGGAGGGAGGGAGGGAAGGAAGGAAGGAAGGAAGGAAGGAAGGAAGGAAGGAGAAAAAAACCCTAAGATTTAAATTTTTAATCCCACCACTTCTTGGCTATCTGATAGAATTGCAAGCACACATCCTTGTACACTCACACATCCTGCAGGTAGGTTCCTTCTTCTTCTTTTGTGTTGCTAATGCCTGAAGTTGTGTCTACTGTCAGAAAGTACTCAATGAATGAACAAATGCAAGCCCATGCAGAGTTTAAATATTCTCTGGATTCATAGGCTATCAGAGACCTAGGCTAAATACACAGAGAAGCTGTTTGTCACACAGGGTCTGCTGAGTGATCGTGAGTAATCGCCCTGTCAGTCAGTCACTCACCTCCCATGAACTGCGATGGCTGAAATGCCAGTCCTCTCTATCCGCTTCACAAGGTTCAGGGTATCTTCTAGCTGGGTAAGAAAGATTACAGCACAAGGTGGTCATTAAGGATCCATGGAAGGAGCTTCTGACTCCTAAAATCAGCTGAGTTCCACCACCAGACCCAACACTACCTGAAAGAACAGACCTTCAAAAGCTATAGTCTTACCGAGGGCAGGATTCGGATTTTACAGGTCACAGGTCTGTGTGTTCCTTTAACAAGAGTGCTGAGGATCTGCAAAGAGTAAACAAGAACACCGGTCAGGAACAAACCACAACACTGCCTGCAATAGTTAACACACCTATAAGACCAGTGCACACCGGCAGAGGAACAGTTTGTATACTCTGAGCACTTGCTGTTATCTGTCGCATGCATTTACATGTAAATTCTACGAGGCAAGGACTCGGCCTGTTGTTCTTGCTAAAATCTCAACACCAGCAAGTCCTTGCCTGATATATATAAATAATATTAAATATGCTGAATGAAGGAGTAAGTGAATGGACCTTCACGCAGTCCTGTGTGAAACACAGTGGTTCCTTGACAGGAGAAGCATCAGAATTACCTGGAGAGCTTAAGTAACACAAACTCTGAGATCCTACCACATTACTTCCTGAATGGTCCTCTAAGGACAGAACTTAGAAACCTGTGTTTTCAAAATCATTGCCCGAAACGCTCAGTATAATCCTGGGGCCTACTCCTGTTTAGGAACATATGACTAACAGCTCTTTTTTTCTTTTCTTTTCTTTTCTTTTTTCCCCTTTCCTTTTGCCTGCCTTCCTTCCTTCCTTCCTTCCTTCCTTCCTTCCTTCCTTCCTTCCTTCCTTCCTTCCTTCCTTTCTTTTTTAAAGATAGGGTTTCTCTGTGTATCCCTGACTGTCCTAAAACTTACTCTGTATACCAGTCTAACTTTGAATTCTAAGATTCATCTGCCTCTTCCTCTCAAGTGCTGGGATCAAAGGTATGCGCCACCGCTGCCCAGCAACTGACAGCTTCTTTTCTGAGTAAAAGTCCCTGAGTGTCAGCCCAAGAACTAGAATGAGAAAGAAAAGTCTCAAGGGGCCTAGGTCCTGTCCTCATGAGACATCAGATACACAAATATATAAACTGGAAAAGGAAAATAACACATTCAATAAGGTTTTAAACATTTTTTTTTTTGGTTTTTTTTTTTTTTTTGGTTTTTCAAGACAGGGTTTCTCTGTGTAGTCCTGGCTGTCCTGGAACTCACTCTGTAGACCATGCTGGCCTCGAACTCAGAAATCTGCCTGCCTTTGCCTCCCAAGTGCTGGGATTAAAGGCGTGCGCCACCACCGCCCGGCTTAAACAGTTCTTATATAACAATTAGGAAAGGTTGCAAAGAAAGATCAAGACATAGCACAGGAAAGTATTCAAGGAGATCGCTTGACATGGCAACAAGAGAATCAGATCAAGAGAGATACAATGCCCTGGATGTCTGTGGCATTGCTATCTTCTTCCTACATCAAAAATCTCAGGCCAGGCACGAGTGTGGGGAAGGTGATCTCAAACACTGACTCCTAACCTGTAGAGGTGCCTCCTGACCTGCAGAGGTGCCTCCTAGGCAACAGCTACCAGACAGGCTTGAGGACTTTCGGTTACCTTAATTCTAGACAGATGAGGGCAGCAGAGAGCCAGCTACAGTAAAACAGGCCTTATCTAAGAGCTAAGGATAAGAAACTGTAGAAAGGCCAACAGTTCACCAACAAGGCCCTCCTTGCTGGCCAGGAGGGCAGGAACACTCTCCAGGTGCTGCCTCAGGCAGCAGACTAGATCTGATTGCCCAGAGTCATCCTGGCAAGCCTTAAAGGAACATTTGTACTTTAAGGAAGGGGACACTGCCAGGCCCATGAGGATCCATCAGAAAAACTCACTCTGGCTAGGTATGGGTAGCACTTTCCTCAGCACTGGGGAGGCAGAGGCAGGAGGAACAGGAGTTCAAGGCCATTCTTGAACCATAAGGAGCAGAGGCCAGCCCAGACTACTTGAGACCTTATCTCAAAACATACAAGTCAATCAGCCAATAAATAAATCCCATGTAAGTTTAATGACTCTGGTTCACAGCAACATATCTAGAAGGTTCCCTTGCAAGTGCTGACTTTGAACCTTTGAAATGTAATGACAAAATACCAAGTGGTTTGATACAGTTTTTGGCCTTAGAGAACTTCCTTTTGATTTATCCTAAATACCTCTAGGTACTTTCTAGGTGTTTCTCTTCACGTTCACATTAACAACCAGGAAGGAGACTAGGGACGTGAAAGATCCAGTCACTCGCTAGGACCACACGAGGGAAGCACGAGCAACCCGAGGTTGTCTTATTGCCAGCGGTGTAGACACCCCACCATCCAGATCTAGATAATGCCACATGCCCCTGCCAGAGGAGGGAGAGGACCAGGGATGAAATATCCAACTATGAGCAGGCTTGCCTCACCAGATCTACTGGCTGGCCTGAAGATCCCCCCTCTCTCTCTCTCAAAAAAAAAAAAGAAAAGAAAAAGAAAAAGAAAAAGAAAAAGAAAAAAAGGAAGGAAAGACATGTGCCATTATTAGTTCCTCCCCACCCTTAACTTCTTGGTTTTGGAGATGGGTTTCACTGCATATCCCAGACCGTCCTGGACTCCGTTATATAGTATAGGATGTCCTCAGACTCGCAACCCTTCTGCTTCAGCCTCTTCAGTACTGATGGACATTATAAGTGTCTGCTACCTTTTTTTTTTTCTTCAATTTCTTTTTCAAGACAGGGTTTCTCTGTGTAGCCCTGGCTGTCCTGGAACTTGCTCTGTAGACCAGGCTGGTCTCAAACTCAGGGATCCACCTGCCTCTGCCCCACTCCCAACATTATGGGATTAAAGTCACGTGTTACTATGCTTACCTGGAACACTTTTAACTAACTCGGTTACATTCACAACATAGTTAAGCCACTCTCACTCTGTATTTCCATAGCTTTCTCCTGTGCCCACATGAGCATCTTTATCTTGAGAAAACTTAAAGCACCCACGAAGCCGTCAGCCAGCTCCCAGCTTGCTGGTACAGCATGGACCTGAACTGAATCCTGCCCAATACACCTAAGCCACATCAGATGGAAGCCTGAAACCTCCCTCTCAAGCTGGCACACGTGACTGTAGCAGAACGAAGCAAGCTCCTGAGACGGAGTACATTACTGCTGTCTCTTACCAAATGAGCTTTTAAATGTGGGCAGGGGCAGAGCCAACATCATTGGCCTTCTTAGTCAGGTGATGGAAGAGAGGGAAACCGCCTGTGTGCACACTTGAACCGGAGCCTCCTTTGAGGCATCCCCTGGTCAAGTGTGGAAACCATTCTGAGAGCCACAGATGCTCCCTCCATTCTGCACAGGGCCTGAATGTAGGTTCAAAAGCCCAGGTGGTTACTGAACTGTGGCTAGGATCTTAGGAACTATCACAGCCTCCTGAGCATGAGGTGTCACTGGGAAGGGACACTAATGCTGCATGCAGTCAGGAGTCACAGCGCTATAGCTTCTTAAGTTGGCTTCACATGCCACATATTTGAAAAAGGGTCTTAAGCAATTTCCTCTTTTCTCTCTGTGCTTCATTTGGCTTTGGTCTTTTGAGGCAAGGTCCTGACGTTGAATTCCTAATGTTTCTGCCTCCTCCTCCCAACTGCTGGGATTTCAAATGTATGTGTAACACATTCAATTCAGTTTCAATAAACTATTCTATTGTTGTCTGTTAAATTCAATTTTAGGTTCTTGTTTTTAACTTGTCTATTTAGGTTTTTTCTCTTTAAGATGTATTTATTTTATTTATATGAGTGCTCTATCTGCATGTACACCATGTGGTTGCTAGGAATTGAACTCAGGACCTCTAGAAGAACAGCCAGTGCTCTTAACTGCTGAGTCATCTCTCTAGCCCCTAATTTGGGTTTTTAGCTTAGTATTTTTTTTTTCAATCAAAAAGGTAACAGTGGTCTGGTAGTATGTGGTAGTTTAAATAAGAAATGTGCCCCATAGACTCAGGTGTTCGGATACTTGTTCCCCAGTTGGTGGTGCTGTTTGGAGAGGTGACGGGGAGGAACAGCCCTGATGGAGAATATCCCTTCGAAAGTTAAAAACTTACAACACTTCCAGTTCACTCTCTGTGATGCAGGTTTGTGGTCAAAGATGTGATCTCTCTGCTTCCTGCTCTTGCCTGGCTGCCGCCATGCCTCCTGCCATGATCAACTCTTATCCCTCTGGAACTATGAGCCCATTAAACCCCTCCTTTTTTTTTTTTTTTTTTTTTGTGGTTTTTCGAGACAGGGTTTCTCAGTATAGCCCTGGCTGTCCTGGAACTCACTCTGTAGACCAGGCTGGCCTAGAACTCAGAAATCCGCCTGCCTCTGCCTCCCAAGTGCCTGTGCCACCACTGCCCGGCAAACCCCTCCATTTTTAAGTTGCCTTGGTCACGGTAGTTTATCACAGCAACAACAGAAACATAGTGCTAATATGGGAGGAGTATTTGCTCTCAGGAGTCTGAGACTAGCATCAGCAACACAAGCAGACACTGTCTCAGAGAGAGAGAGAGAGAGAGAGAGAGAGAGAGAGAGAGAGAGAGAGAAAGAGAAGGGGGAAGATGGGGGAGGGGAACGGGAGGGAACAAGCGCAAATGCCTGCTATGTTTATTTAAAGGGAGAACAAATGAAACACACACTGGAATGTGCATTGAAAAAGCAGCTCCTCTATAAACGTCAAAGACACATTTTTTAATAATAGACTAAAGGGACGTTATCTGAGGCTAACCAAGAGAAACAAAGACACCTAACATATAGTGATCCCTCCATATCCCAGAGACCCCTTGACATGATGAGTATGTAGGATTGAGCTGTGCCGGCCAGCACACTCCATGGCAGCTCTCACGGGGTTGGGTCTGACTGCAAAGTCTCTGAGTCTGTAGGAAGCACCAAGGCTCAAAGCTCAGGCAGGGAAGTGGGGTGGAGGATGTGAAGGAGGAAAAAAGAGCCAGTAGACCAAGAAGGTGAGAACTGGTAAATTAGGAGAAAAAAGTCATGCTCTAGCCAGTTGTCACCTGCACATGGCCAGGTAGCCCTCAGTACTAGGTGTCAATGCCAGCCTGTCTCCTGGTCCTCATGAAGCCCATCTGTACACTCTCCAGAGGAGGGAAACAAGGGGAGCCTGACTTCACCTGGCCTCATGCATCCCTGGCCTGGGCTGCTCTCAAAGGCCTTTATGGTACAAACCTAGAATCCCAGCACTCAAGAGGCTGAGGCAGGAGGATTGGACATTGTCCAAGGTCAATCTAGACTACATAGCAAGTACCAGGCTAGCCAGAATCATATAGTAAGACCCGATCTCAAAAGAAAGGTCGGGGAGTAAGGGATGGGAAGTGACCTGTGGTATACACTATCCATGTGATCCATAAGCAGGAGGCACCCCGCTACTCTCGTCCACCCCCAGGAAAGGCCTGTTCATCTACACACAGACTTCTGGGCCTGCCCTTACCCAGAGTGATCTGCCCTCTGCTCTCAGATCATCCTGGAAGGGAAAGTAGCAATACACAGGAGGAGACTGTATCTGAGTTCCAGGCCCGGTGGCTCTTAGGTGACATGTCCCTATCTATAGACTTTTACAGACCTCGAGAGCACTGAAGGCTGACGGAAGAGTTCCTAAATCTAGCTGCATATCAAAATGAGTTTTTTAAAATTTCCAGGTCAAGACTGGAGAGATTTTGGTATGTGAGAGCACGATCTATGCAGAGGGCTGCAGTTCAGTTCCCAGCAGCCATAGCAGGTAGCTCACAACCACCTGTAACTCCATCTCCCAGGTAGCCAATGACCTCTTTAGCCATTGTGTATACACGGTGCGGACATATAGGCAGGCAAACCACCCATAACACATAAGAATGAATAAATTTAAAGACATTTTCTCCGGGCCCCAAATAGAGATTCTAGGCAAATTTCAATAAATCTGGAGCAAAGGGTAGAGACATTTTAGAGAACTCTGTCACAGCGTGTTTGAGGACCCTACCGTCACTCACCTTCTCGATCTTGTCAGGGTCTGACAGCAGAGCAGCTCCCATTCCTCCCTAAGGAGAAGCACACAGAAGGCCTTACGATTGAAGAAGATGGGCCAGCCACAGTATGGCGACAGAGTAGCAACAAGGTAGCTAAGACCCACTGGAACTGGCATTTTCCTAACCACCTAGGAAGGTAGTGTTGTCTGTGCACACCACACACCCCATCAGGAATTGGAATGTGATGGATCCTAACAAATATCTGATCATTTTTGCAAAACCACATATCCACCTAGAAATGGGCACTACAGATGTTACTTTTTAGAACTACATAACCTCATAAAATCTCTGATTCATAGCAAACTGAGCCCACCATCTACTGTGCCCCTAAAACAAGGAGTCCACCTGAGCAGAGTGGCACACATACTCAAGAGGCTAAGTCAGGAGGATCAGTAGTTCAAGGCCAGCTTCCACTGCATAGTGGTGAGTTAACCGCTAGCTTGCACTTCATAGATATATCCTGTGTCAAAAAAACAAAAACAAAAACAAAAAAAAACAAAAAAAACCCAAAAATACAGCAAATGACAGTCCACAAAGTCACAGAACAACTTAAAGCTCAATGACACCAGTGATTCTGTTTTAAAACTTTTTAAAAATTATTTACTTATTTTATGTATGAGTGCACTGTAGCTATCTTCAGACACACCAGAAGAGGGCATTGGACCCCTTTATAGATGGTTGTGACCAATGATATGGTTGCTGGGAATTGAACTCAGGTCCTCTGGAAGAGCAGTCAGTGCTCTTAACCCCTGAGCCATCTCTCCAGCCCTGTTTTAAAACTTTTTAACATGTATTTATTTACTTATTTTTTTTTGTGTGTGTGTGTGTACATGTGTGTATGTATGGTGTGTGGGGAGAGGGCACACGCATCCCACAGAGCATGTGCAGCGGTCAGAGGACAACTTTGAGGAGTTGGTTGTGTCCTTCCACAGCGGGATTCCGAGACTGAATTCACTTCGTTAGGCATGTATGACAAGCATTCTCACCCGCTGAGCCACTCTGCTGACTCACAGGATCTGCGAAAGCCTGAGTTCATTAGACATAAAGTAAATGAAATAAAGTACATGTAGCTCAATTTGCTTAGTGTACATGAAGCCCTAGACCCAGTCTCTAGCATCTCATAAAACTAAATGTGGGGAAAACATCTGTAATCCCAGCACTTGGGAAACAAGGCCGAGTGGATCAGAAATTCAAGGTCATCCTGTAGCTCAGAAGAGCCTCCAACTCATCATCCTCCTGCCTCAGCCTTTACAAGGTTAGATTACAAGTGTGGACCATCATATCTAGCCTAATAGCATCCCTTTGAGCATCTTTCTAATCCAGCACAGGATCTAGCCCAGAGCCAGTTACTATAATAGTTAGCCTCATTTAACCTGCACAGAATAAGTCTAAGGAATAAATAAATCATTTTACCTTAGTGGAATACTCTTTTGGACAGCCCATGTTGACATCAATACCAGCTACATCATTTTCTCTGGAAAAGCATGAAAGAGAAAAGGAGGTAAACACTCTACCTGAAGGAAGAAAGTAGATGAAGGTAAAGGGTTCTGGGCTCCTGAATCTCCTCAGCCTCCTGGGCCTGTGAAGCACACTAATTCTCAATGACAAAAGGTAAAAATCATAAACAAAGCCCTTCCCCCAACTGCAACTGCCTCACCTGAGCAGAGCTCCAGAAGAAAGACATAATGAATACACATCTGTAAGGAGCTGGACGTACAGGACTTTACCACGCTTAGTGTTGTGTCAGGTATTTCAAACACTGAGTGACCCTGAACTCCATCCTAGGGTTATCGTTTTGACTGGGGGAGTGGAAGCCATTTGTCAATGTAGAAAGGTGGTGTAAGCACAGAGCCCATCGCAGAGCATGTCTTCTACAAAAATTACTAAACTGAGCCAGGTGTGGTGGGACGGATGTAAGCCCAGAACTCAGAAAATGGAAGCAGGAAGATCACATGTTTGAGGCCAGCCTGGGCTACATGAGATAGAAAAAGGAGGAGGAGGAGGAAGACGAAGAGGAAAAAGAGGAAGAGCAGGAGCAGCAGCAGCAGCTAGTAGTTGTATTAGACTGGTTTCATTTGCTGAGCTGCACAATTGGTTTACTCCAAAGAATTCTGTGATATAGAAAACCTCTTCACCTTACCCACTGGTTTATATCGGTCTGTGATTTTCAGCAGTTAAGGCCTGAGTTCTTTCTTACTCTCACTGTCATCAGTAACAAAAACGAGTATGAAGCCCTTATGTGTGCCACATGTTGCAAATCCATGACACGTATTATTTCATTTGCTGTTTCCTATAATGCCAGAGACTGATAGACATCATTTTATAAGGACGAGAACCAAGCTATCAATGATATTCGGTGAGTTACTGTGGTGGTCTGAATATGCTTGGCCCATGGGAAGTGACACTATTAGAAAGTATGGCCTTGTTGGAGTGGGTGTGGCCTTGTTAGGGGAAGTGAGTCACTGTAGGGCTGGGCTCTGAGGTCCTGTGCTTAAGCTCCACCCAGTGCAAAAGAATCAGTCTCCTTCTGGCTGCCTTTGGATCTCATGCAGAACATTCAGTTCCTTATAGATCCCCATGTCTGCCTGGATGCTGCCATGCTCTCCACCTTGATGATACTGGTCTGAACCTCTGAAACTGTAAGCCAGCCCCAATTAGATGTTTGTCTTTATAAGAGTTGTGTTGATCATGGGGTCTCTTCACAGCAATGGAAACTCTAACTAAGACAGTTACCTAAGTTCACACAGTTACCAAATAGCAAACCCTGAATTCCAACTGAGCAAGGCTTTAACTCCAAAGGCCACCACCTCAACCATGGATTCTCCTGACCACTAACTCTGGAAGGAACGTATCTGATCTACATTTCATGAGGGTTAAAGCTGTAGGACTCCCAGAAGAATCCCTAGAAAGGGGAACCCATTAATAAACATTAAAAGGAGGGCTCCCTGTAGAGAATCTCTGGGATATAACCACACAAAGGATCTCTGGGATATAACCATAGCAGGTATACAGGATTCCCAGGCCAGCCTTCAGATACCACAGAGAAAGAAACCCAATACCCTTCTCCTGAAAAAGAAAGTAAGGGGCTAAGAAGCAAAAGATGGGTAGCTAGTGATATGAAGGTCTCACAGCTTACAGAAGAGACAAGGCATCCCCAAGGAGGGAAGGACTTACACAAGCCTGGCCACAGCAAGGGCTCTCTCTGCGTCTGAAGTCCCCTGGGAACACAAGAAGCTACATCAACCTGTCTTGACACAAGTGCACACATGTAGACAAACACACCTATTGGTATCTTCACACACACACACATACACACGCATGCATGCATGCATGCATATACACATGCCAGCAAGTGTAAGAATCAGGCCCACTTGGGGCTGGAGCGGCGACTCAACAGTGTTTGTTTTTTAAGAGACCAGTACACTAAACTTACCAACAAAGGAAAAAGATGGAGTTGGAAGGCCTAGACAATCTCATTAATGTCATGGTTACTTTCAAACATTAAAAGCAAAACAACAATGCAGGGGCTGGAACAATGCAGGGGCTGGAGAGGTGGCTCAGTAAATAAAGTACTTGCTATGCAAGCATGAAGGTCAGAGCTCAGAGCACGGGTACCCACATAAAAACCAGGTGAGGGCCAGCAACACAGCTCAGTGGGAAAGGGCTCTTTCTGCCAAGAATGTCAACTTGAAATCAACTGCTGGGACACAGAAGGCAGGAGAACTGACCCCTGCAAGTTATCCCCTTACCTCTACATACGCACTATGGAACAAGCGTGTACACACACACGCACACACACATGTGCACACACATACGTAATAAAATTGTATTTTTTAAAAAGGGGAGAAGTCCCGGGCGGTGGTGGCACACGCCTTTAATCCCAGCACTTGGGAGGCAGAGGCAAGCGGATTTCCGAGTTCGAGGCCAGCCTGGTCTACAGAGTGAGTTCCAGGACAGCCAGGGCTA